TATATATATATAGGATAAGATAGCCTGAACAAGGTTTCCCTGAACATGATAACTGATGTTCAGTTTCCCTGAACAAGGCAATTCCAGGTGGATTCATCACAACTTTCCCTGAGAAAGGTCTGGCAAGGGCCAGCAGTCACCTTTGTGGGCTCGTTTGTGTAGAGCCCATGGCCATTGTTGCTGATCAGTGACTCAGGCTTGGCCAAGGCTGCTGGCGTGGAAATCCCTTCCCCACATGAGGCACAGCCAGTACTCACAAGCCATGTAACATAACTCCAAGATGACACTTGGCCTTCTGCTGTCTTGTTACCACTCACGCTCAGAGCTTCCCGCTTCTCTTTCCAACACCTTCAAGTGAGTCAGGATGTTCCCATATGCAAGTAGATACTGAGGCGTAGAACATCACACCCTCCTCATCGTATCATAAGAAAGAAACCATTTGGATAGATTTCCAAATGAGCAGTACTTCCACCCTTTTCTCTTGTACACATCTGGATGGCTTTCAGCTGGCCCTGGACAGACAATATTAGGTTAAATCAATGATGAGAAAATTGCTCTAAATTGCTTTCTGCATGGAGGTATATTAATGTCATTTAATATCATAGCCAGAGATCCTTTTGTTACACAGAATAGAACTCTATTCAAATCAGCTAGGCTAAGAGGCAGTTTCACAGACAACTCCTATAGGCAAACTGACAAAACTCAAGAATGCACCTGCTTCCCTGTCTCTGAAAGGGCCTCATTGGCACTGACTTCTCTAATCTTATTTTTGCACAGAGAGAATCTTCTTGTTTTCTGAAACCTTCAGTTTGTACAAGATTGTGCTTGGCTTCAAAGATGTATCACTTGTCGGTCCATATTTCTTTCATTATATAACTCAGAGACCCTCAAATCGTATCCTCAGACCAACTGGTGAAAATATTCTTGCCATTCTGCATTAATGAAAGTACAGAAATTGAGAGTAAGTGCTTTGTTACTATAACCCAAGACACATAAAATCCAGAATCCATTTCACTCATCAGAAGAAAATTTAAATTTAATTATAGCTTAGCAAGTCAATTTTTTGAAACTGGTTACTGAATCACATTGAAGGTGAATTCTGAAAATACATTATCACTTCATTTTGGATAAAAGATAAAAGTTATTATCCTAAACTTTGTGGAAACTACTTTAAAATATCTTCCTCTGTTTCCATCAACTTCCATGGGAAGGCTGGTTTCTCTACTAACACTGCCATGAGATAAAAACACAGACACATGTTATCCCCTGACAATCGTGTTCTTGTCAGTCCAACTTAGGTGAGGTCAGTTAATCACAGAAAAGAAACATATCAATGGAATTACAGGCCTTGAGTATTAATATATATAGTGTATATCAGAACAGGCCTATGTTATTGGGAATCTCTATTAAAGCCACAAATTTTGGATAGATTATGATTATAGGACAACTAAAAGTTACAACTATAATAGAAATTCTCCATTATATGTACCTAGGTGTATAACTCCAATGGAATCATATGCACAATTTTTGTAATTATTGTCTTTTTTACTTGTATTTGTTGTATTTATATTTATTTATCAAAAAGTAACTTTATGTCCATTAAACTTAATGAAATAAGTTAGGTGTCATACTTTGAATACCATTTTTCAGTTCAATTTTTGGCAATTTGCTTTTGTTATATTTTACAAAAGTATAAATCGGATGGCACTTTGGAAATCCAAGGACAGTGATATGATTGATTGCCATAGATGGTCTGAAAAGTACTGCTCAAGTTCAGTCTCTCAGGGTGTCAACCCAAAACCTCCAGGAGTGGATCTACATAACTCGTGTTGGAAAAGGCATTGAACATTACATGGAAGAGTTGGGTAGGGGGAGCAGTTGTTGGCAGACTATATCCCAGGCTGCTATTTCAGATGCTGCTGGAGGCTTGGAGGTTAGGGCTACAGCCATCTTTTGTGTGTGTTATTAAACTCACCCTTTTATTATTCATTTTTTTTACTTTATGGAAAAAAAAATTTCCCAACCAAATAATAGACTAACAATAGTCAATGCACTGCATATTGTTATCTTCCAAGTAGTTACTCAGAATACAAAATATGGACTTAAAACTTCTCCAAAGAAGGAAGGAAGAGAAAGGGAAAACAAAATACATGTTAGTTATACTACCAGTCTTTCTTAGTTCATTGAGAAGAAAGGTTTGTGCTAACCTTTTATGACACTTAATCTAATATGATGGAACAAAATTATCAATAATCTGACCACGAATTTCCAAGCCGTGCTTGGGTGCACTTGGCAGCCGTTAGCCTGACGAGTGGGAAAGATGTAAATCAGTCTATCAAAAAGTGAGAAGACAGGCTCAGGACGATGGATGGGAAGTGGTACAAGGTGCTCTGAAGATGACACAATAGAGCAGCCGACATGTTCAGAGAAAAGATACATTATCCTCTGGTCACTGCAGAGGGAGGGAAGACATAGGTCCCAATAACACAGAGCAGGGCTCCCAGTGCATCACTGAGGAACCATTCGACCCTGTATCGTTACCTCTCCTATATGCTGTGCTTTGTTTTGTTTAATATTTTTCCTTCCTTTGAGGAGTTCAAATCTACCTACAAAAAGAACAGGATGGTCACTACCCAGGTAGGTGGTAGGTGTGGCGATCACAGAGTGGAGCTCCCTGCAGGGAGAGCCTCCTGTTGTCAGACCCTTCCTGTCTTGCCATAGCCAGAAAGAGTGCCTCACCTTGGTCACACCTTTCCTGGACACCGGCACCTGGTGACTGAGTCAGATGCGACTATAAAACCCCAATAATTTTGTCCCCAATGCTAGATATCCTAATGGGTAATGCCTTCTGCAGGGCTCCCTGCTATATTGACTGAGGCTGACACGTTTTGGATCTTAAATGTCCCCAAAGCCTCACATGCTCAAGACTTGGTTCCCTGCCAATCATGTCTTTGAGAGGTGGTGGAACTTTAGGGGTTGAGCTGGTGGAAGGAAATTAGGTAATTGAGGGTGTACCCTTAGAGGGGGCAATGAGATCCCAATTTCCTTCTTTTTTCTCTCTTTGTTTTCTAGCTGTCAAGAGGCGCGTAACTCCTCCACCGCCCACTCCCTGACATGATATTTCTGCTTTTCCGCTGGCCCAGAAGCAGTGGAGCCAGTTATCCAGGCACCGAATGCTCTGAAACCATGAGCCAAAATAGAAATTCCTCCTCTTAAGTTGATTTCTCAGGTGTTTTGTTACAACGGTGAGAAACTAATACACCTTTGTCAGATCTGTGTCACAGCTTGAAGTCTCCTTCCTCCCGGTCCTCTTCCTCTGTCTTCCCTTTAAAGATGAAGAGCTGTTCTTGAGTGAATAGCTTTTCCCCTATCAAATCTGTGTCTGTTCCCAGAGAGTCAATCCTTCACATTTCATTTTGACATAGAGCCAGACACGTGAGTCCGGGGCAAGAGAGCCTCCCAGCTGTGAGCTGGGGCTACTAAGAAAAGGCTGTGCAGGGAGGGATGCCATCACAGTAGAATCTGAGGGGGTAAATGCAAAATTGGGAGAGGGGCTTCTGAGCGAGGGGACCACATTCCTCCAGCACAAGAAATAGAAAAGGGGACTGTTCTCTGAATAATGAGGTCACATCATTCAGGATCTGCCCAACTATCACCCCTCCTGAAAACTTCCCAAAGCACACATTTGCCACCTCCGCCCCATCAGAAGCATTGGCACATCACAGGGAAACACCAGGTGCACCTCACCTTGCAGATGGGGCACACACCAGGAAGGGCTAAGCCAGGACTCAATCCTGAAGGTCACCGGAAGTCTTTGGGAGTTTTCTGGTGCACTTCCTGTCCTGTCCAAATGGTGCCTCAGAAATGCACTTGGCACCTGCAGCTAAATGCTAATAAAGTAAGGCAAGAATGGAGATGGGAGGACGTCAGGGCCTTTGGCCATGGTACAGATTAAAAATAAAAATAGAAAGCTCAAAATAAAAAGTGAAAGACCATTCAAAGCAGTGGCTCTCAAATATTAAGGTGCCTCTGAATCACCTGGGGGTCTTGTCATGATGCTAATTCTGATTCAGGAAGCCAGAGGTGGGGCCCAAGACCTTGCATTTCCAACAAGCTTCCCAGTGATGATACAGGCTGCTGGTTTAGTGGGACATCAACAATTAAGAACCAAGCCATTCATCAGCAATCATTATGCAATGATCTACTAGGCAGAGGACTTGAGATGTTAGTAATTCTGCAGAGCATACCCATACTCTCTGTTACCCAATGACCAGGAGAGAGAAGCATAGGTCTCCGACGTCTGATGCATAGGCAAGGAAAGGGCTATCTCATCTCAAATGACCATCAACCTCTCCAAGTATGAGATGCAGGTATGTGGTTTGTTTAGCTATGGTTTCCTGTCTCCTGCTATTGACCAGGAATTAGATCACTTAACAACAAATGAATTGAGTCAGCTTTTGGCCTCTGCTAGAGCCTGAGATTCATCACAGTTTCAGCTGTTGTTATTTCATCCAAAATATGATTTTCACAGGGGGAAAAAGCAGCTGTCCAAATTCTGCTCTTGGTTACTATCTTGCGACATTATTATGAAGCCCAATCACTAATACACACCTTCGCCTTGCAGTTTTCTGTGAGTGCATCTGATTACTTCATCAGTCCACTGAAGTCAGCCGTGAAGCACACTCTGATAGGGGTCACACATGAGTAAGTGCACAGCTGCGGGCAGCACTGCCTGGTTTTAGACTAGATGCTTGCTGTCTTCTTTCCCTCATTCACCTCCTTCTGCCCCGTACCCGTGAGATATGCGCTACCCAGCCGCATATGGTATTCCTGCCGCTTGACATTGAACCTCAATGTTTTTGAAACTGAGAGTTGTTTTTCTCTTCTATGTCTTTGAATCTGGTTGGAGAGAACTTGGAAAGGCTCCAAATTGTTAATGAATTCTAATCTAGCATTTTTCTTTGTGTGTGTTTATATATGCTCCCAAATACAATGATAGTTGTCTGTCCTATTGATCATCTATAAAATCACGTGAGGTAAAATTCTTCCTTCTGTATTCATGAGCCTGTGCTCACATTAAACTTACATTTAAACATAACAGAATATGGTTGGTTTCATGCACATGAAAACATTTTACCTTCAAAAATAAAATTTTTTTTTCTCTTTTGGTGATGCTGGGATCGAACCCAGGACCTCACTCGTATAGGCAAGTACTCTACCCCTGGGCTCCACCCCCGCCTCCACATAAGATTGCTTTAAACCTCAGTGGTTTTTTGGGAAGATCAACACATTTCCCTGAAATTATGCACTTATTATTCAGATTTTTATTTTTTAATTGTCTCTTCTGGAAAAGTGAGAAGACTGTCATCACTGGCCTCAGGTCACATGTGGCGGCATCCGATCTGTAGAGAATAAATACTTGCAAATACTGAGACACGCCACTGGGGCCGACAATCTCACGCAGAGAGGAAGAACAGGAAATATTAATTATAGGGTTGTGATTCCGCTGGGAGCACTCGAAGGGTATTGTCTAAATTTAGAACGAATGTGCACTGAGTGTTAGTAATCTGCCCCTCACTGCTAGTCATTTCCGCTTGTATCCTGAACCAGGCTTCATTAAGATTGAACCTGTGAACTGCACAACATATAACATTGCTTTTACAAACCCTGACTGCAGAAGGATCACAAGGGTTTCAGGATAAAATTGGAGATTCTACATGGAGCCAATAGCCATTTGTGAAGTAGAATAATAGTACGCGTGGATGCACGTATCCGAAATGGCATTGAAAAGTACAAAATGTTACACAAACTCTGAAGATCATTACTGTTCTTATTCAAAATAAGGTCGTGAGAGGGAGAGGGGTCTCTTGGTGAGAGAATCATAAATTTCCCGGGTGGGAAAATAAAATGCATACCTTTGGCAGAGAAAACAACACAAACGTGGGAAGCGAGGAGCAGCCAAGGGAAATCAGTCTCATGTCCACACTGGAGCATCTTCACTCACGCCACTTGGAGGTTAGAGGCAACTGGAGCCCAGCCATGCTGTGATTGTCACAAGGGACTTTCTCATTCCCACAAAATAATTCCAGAAAGCCCATGAACAATGGCACAGAGTGCTGTAAAATAATATCTCTGCCGTCACCTGGGATGTGCACCCTGTGACTAAGCGTGGATTTAAATATGGGGTTAATGCATCTGCAGCTCAAGGCTCCATGGTTGCCTGGGTCCTCGCCAACGCTGGTTATCTTGGGCTGCTCTGGGTCCCGGGTTGTACTCAGGAACCATTTCTGCACAAGCATTTCTGCTGCTCTGTCTAAAGAGATCACAGAAGAAAGGGTGTTGAGTGCCAGGCATCTGCTGAGATTTCTTTTCTCACTCTAAATAAACATGCACGTCCACACCTATCTGTCTTGGTTTCTTTCCTTAGTCATAGATTTGCATATGATGATTAGTAAACACTGATCCATCTCAGCTTTGCAGTAGAAAGCCTTTACACTGCCCACAAGCCTGATTTCTCAATCACCAGTGTTACTGAGCGAAAACAAAGGTCCACAGACCCGTAGGGTGCTGTGACTTCCTTTGTCTTCAGGGCTCGATCACTTTTTCTAATCTTCAGTGCTGGGCCCTGTCCATGTTAGGTAAGTGCTCTGCCATTAAGCTTCACCCCTAGTTCTCTCCTCATAGGTTAAACATGTTCCGTTTACCAGGCTCTACAAGCTGTTTTTTGACACAGCTTGGTATTGTTTGCGATCCCTAAAGGAAAGGGATTCATACCACCCTCCACTTAGAGAACCAAGGAGGGTGGTATGGTTCTGAGTGGCTTGGTCCTGACTAAGGCAGGCAGTCTGTCCCAGAGCTGAGACAGATCTCAGCTGGGATTGCACTGCATCCTTGAGAGTAAATTCTAGGTCCTGCTGCCTGGGATCCAGGGCACCTTGGCTCCATTCCAGCCATTAAACCAGTGGTTGAGACTCATGGTGACTTTGTATCCCAGGGACACTTGACACTGTTTGATGGTTACAACTAGGGAGGTTGCTACTGGACATAGCGGGTACAGGCTAAGGGTGCTACTAAACGCCATGCAAAGCACAGGGCTCCCCCATAACAAAGACCTATCTGGCTCGAGTATCCAAGGCTCTTCACAAACCATGTCTCATAAAGCCAAAAGATCTGTCTCAAATTCATCACCCCTGTTTTGCATTGTCTTGGTTACTTTTCTCTCATTGCTGGGACAAAATACCTGGTACCCAAAACTAAGGAAAGAAAAGTTTATTTCATCTACAGTTTGTGGAAGTTTCAGTCTGTACTTGGCAGTTACAAGGCAGAGTGGCACATGGCAGAGGGCTACAGCTCATGGCGGCAGAACACAGCCAAAGCAACAAGCACTAAAAGGGAGGAATGGCCGCAAGCAGCCTCTTCCTCTCCCTTACATATGCAAACTTCCACCCCAGGGCAGGTGTAGCTCTCACACCCATAATCAATCAAACTCTAAAAGCCTGCCCCGTGGCCACGTGAGGTTTTAGGGGAACACACAGACACAAACCATAACAGGTGTCTTCTTCCTCCACTGCAAATAAAATGAATACATTTTGGGCTTGAATTCCAAGTCTTAGATAAGATGTCCTTTCATACTTCTCCCTTGTGTCTTTCCAGTTCTGTCATCATTATTTGCACTCAACATTGGCTCCACCCAACACATTGAACAGAGGCAGAAAGCCCAGCCCTCACTTCTAGCTCAGTCACCACTGAGCTCTGTGAAGTGAAGGACTTGGGCTCCATGGTCCCCAGGACCTTCCCAGCAGCTCATCTGCTCCTGGGACAGCTTTCCCAGCAGGAAGACTGAGCTCTTAGGGGAATGACGATTGTTTGTGAAACACACCAAGGGCAGAGACCCAAGCCACAGGTAGGAAGGAAGCTGCCATGCCAAGAGCTGTGAGGGGAGGAGAAGGTAGAACATTCTAGAACAAAGTAGAACATTCCACAGCATCAGGCACAAGCAGAAGAATGAGTAGAATAAGAAAGGCAAAGATCATCCTTACCAGGTGTGCCATCTGCATTGCCTGCCGCACATCAGTACGCTAAGGGTGGCTTGGAACAGCCGAGGGATAGAATGCAGAGCTTCTTCTCAGCTGTATGACAACAGGACAGGTGGATGATGGCCACATGACACTGAGGTGGTAAACTAAGCACATTTGCTGAACCACTGAAGAATAATGAAATAACACAAGGCTGTGTCACTCCTGAACACTTTGGTGGAGAGTCCTACAAGAAATCCTACACGCTTCTCCCACACAACCCAGCATCACCATCAAAACTGGGAGAGCAGCCATGATACATATGACCATCTACCTCTCAGCCTCGTTCACAACTCATCTCTGGTCACAATAATATCCTCCATAGCAAAATAACCCAGTCTGAAGAAGTAAGCTGCATTTGATTTCCACGTCTGTGAAGTGTTCTTCAATTTGAAAGAGTTCTTCAGTCTTTCAAACCCGAACACTGTAGTTAAAGTCATGGATCAGTCCTTTGGTAGACTCGCTGCATCCAGCGTTGTCTGGTAGTTTGTCACGATTAGATTCTGACTATGTGTCTTGGGCAAGCTCGTCGCCGAGGGGAGCAGCATCCTCCGCTCTGCATTCTGTGAGGCGCTCACGATGTCAGGCAGTTCCATCCCGGCCAATGGTAACTCTCATTCTTGACAGGTGATGAGAGATTCTGCATTGTAAAGGTAACTGTACTCCCCTTCGTGTTACATAAAAATTTTATAGGGAGGTATTTTATTTTGAGACTTGATCATTTTTCCATTCCTAATCAAACTTTCAACATATTCATTTGCTGATCAATACTCATGGATTTCTACTCTATTTAGAGGATTCTAATCCTTTACAATCACTGTTTATTTTGATGTACAAAGCATCCCAAATTTGGTCAGTCACAGCCCTTTTGGTTAATTTCTGTGACCTTTTGACATGGTCCCCTCGTTCATCAACATAGCTTCAGTTTTGGTCACTGTGGGCTCTTCCATGGTTATTTTACTCTCTCCCATCTCTGGAGCTTTTTCCAGGGTCATTTTGAATGGTAACAATATTTAGTTAGCAAGATCTGGCCACTAGGTGTGCTTACTGGTATTGGGACATCCCTGCTCCCCAGGCACTCTTAAGAGAGAGCTAGAGATATGTGGGTCACACTCACAGACATCCCTATCAGTCTGTCTATCTATCTATCTATCTATCTATCCATCTACCTATCTATACATTCATCCATTCATCATCTATCTATGCATCTATGCATCATCTATTTACCTATGCATCCACCCATCATCTATTTGTGTCTGTCCATCTATCCATTCATCCATTCATCTATCCATCCATCCATTCATCTATCCATCCATCCATTCATCTATCCATCTATCAGAAACTATGACTTCCCATCAACACCTCTAATTCCACCCCAGCACCATGGAGATCATTCTAATTTTCTCCCTTTTCATATCTGTAACTCCCTTGTCAACAGCAAGAAACCTGGCTCCCCTATCTCTATAATATTTACTCATCTGCTCAGCTCCCAGCACACACCCAACATGCTCCTCCTGCTAACCTCCGTTGGGTTGCCCTCCTCCCTGGGGGATGCCCAGCCCACTCTGCCCAACACCATGGCTTTCAGACTGAACTGTTCAGGAAGGGAAGTGTTATGGTTTATGTCTGTGTGTCCCCCCCAAAGCCTCATGCGGCCATGGGTCAGGCTATTAGAGTTTGATTAAGGGTGTGAGAGCTGCACCCGCTCTGGGGTGGATAGTTTGCATATGTAAGGGAGAGGAAGAGAGTGCTTGAGGCCATTCTTCCCCCATTCCTCACTGGTGTGTGTTTGTTGCTTTGCTGTGTTCTGCCGCCATGAGCTGTAGCCCTCTGCCATGTGCCAGTCTGCCTTGTAATCTGCCAAGTATGGACTGAAACCTCCACAAACTGTAAGTGAAATAAACCTTTCCTTCCTTCATTTTGGGCGTCAGGTATTTTGTCCCAGCAACGAGAGAAAAGTAACCGAGACAGGAAGGTATGTAAATAGATATGCCAGGGAGGAGTGAGAGGAAAAGGGAGGGAAAGGAAGAGGAAGAGTGCCACTGCCCTCTTCATCATATAAAGTAATAGTAATAATAATAAACTTTAAGCACTCTGGAACAAATTAGTGTTCAAATTAAAAGAGCCAGCCAATGACTCTGGGCATTTTAAGCTAAGTAACTGGGTGATCACAGGGCTGTTAGAGGAAGAAGCAATGGTACAGGCTGTGCCCTTTGTGACTACCTTGGGACACTGCGGTCCCATTGGTGAGACTTGGAACTGCAGCCACTCCCTAGCAGCCAATGTTGCGAACATTTCATGGGTGAAAGTGGAGAGCTGGGGCCACCACTGATGTTTCCAGACCTCCAGGAAGCTGGAGGATAAACTGCAGAAACTGCAATGGAAAACAGCAGCCTGGCTCAACAGTCCAACAACTGCTAGCTGCAGGTAGAGCAAGTCCCATTTCCTCTCTTCCAACACCTGAAAGCATCGGAGGATGCTAGTGCCCCCAGGGCTCTGGCTTCAAAGGGTTCCAGTAGACACATTGGGTTTCCACAGACAGTTTTGGTCTGGCTAGTTCTTTAGAGTGCACTTGTTTCTCAGGTTTGCAGTCCATTCAGAGCAAAGGTGAGTGGGATGGAGGTGTGAGTCGATTCCCAGGGCTCCCCTGCCTGCCTCTCCTGGCCATGTGACCAAGTGATAATTCATCAATGTAGAGGCCCTGCGCTTTGCAGGAACCTTATAAAGTGTTAGCATTTTGGCATTCAAGACACATCTGCTCATCCATAGCCAGCGTCATGGAGCCTACACTGATTTCCTTTTCCATTCCCACACCGGGAACTCTCCACACTCCGCACGGCCCCTGCTACATCTCCCATCTGCCTGTGACCTCTGGGTCCCGCTATGTACCAGTTGTTTTCCTTCTCCTCCACATCCTCCTCAATTCCTTCCCCCTCCTCCTTTTCCTCCTCCGCTTCTTCTGATTTTCCCTCCACCCACTTTCTTTTATTTTACAGTTTCAAACCTGTCTCCTCCCCAAGCACACACAGATGTATGCACAAAACTTGTACTTTACTATTTCTTCTCTACCTCTTCTGACTCTCTGTCGGTATGAAAACAGCCCCATTTCAATTCAACGAGCAGGTTCTGACTTTGCCTAGCACTGGTTAGTGGACTTGGAGCCACAATTCTGAAAGGCAGGTGTGGAGGACATCTGGACGACTCTCCTTGAAAGAACAGCCAGATCTATCTCCATTTTGGCTAAACCTGGCCCTACTTCTGTGTACTGATGTATGCACAGCTGGCTCAGTTTTGTCCTTCACTTGGCTTTAACCAAGGCAAATGGGTCTAGCTGAGGTCCTGATGTGTGACAGGCCAGGGAAGCTCTGCCTACAGCTCCCAAATAATATGTGTGAGCTGGACTGAATGTAGCCCCGCTGTCAGCTGGGATGGAGCCTCAAGGTAAGACGCTATGACTTCTCAGTGCATAAAAAAGTACACATCAGAGCTGAAACACCAACTCCAAAACATTAGACACTGCCTCACTGCGTTATGCAGATTACTCTTGCTGCATACCTTTCTCTCTGTATATTGCAGAGGTGATTTCAGGCCTCCCGCCTAGCTCATGGCACTCACCTACTTCCCACCACTCTCACAGTCGCTCATCCCCAAGCCATTCCCCTCTTCACAAATTAATAAGACCCAGGTTCAACCCTGGGTCAAAGCTTTTTGCCAGTTAGTCATTGTTCTAGATGGACTTAGGAGGAAACACTCCAGCTCCCAAGGCCCCAAGGGGTGACTCTGGGACACGATCTACCTGCCTGTCCCTAGAGAATCCTCCAAGAGAAGCACAGTACCTGCCCTCAGACTTCGCTGGATACCACACACTTGCTTTCCTTCCTGCCTGGCTCACTTCCCTGGCTTTTCCCTCAAATGCCCCCTGTAAATCACTTTCACCTGAATCTTCCAGGGCTGATTATAGTAGAAACTGGATCCAGGCTTCCAAATAGGGCATTTTACAAGCATAAATATGAATGTTAATGCCTTACTTCTTTGGTATAGGTTTATTTAATAGTTACTACTTAGGGAAAATTTCCCTATATGTCAACACTAGTATCAACACTTGTAAAACATCATGATGGCCTGACAAGAGTCTCATTTTGCACAGGATTTCATCTTTTAAAAAAAAATCTTGTTCTCTATCTAGCTGATAAGGTGAAGTCTTTCAAGTTCTTTGGAAATAAAAGAACATAAAGTAAAACCAGAAACTGAATACCATTTCTAACTTACCCAATTAGCGAAGAACTTTTGAAAATTATCTTATTCAATCCTGGCGAAGGTGAAGTGCGATTCCCTCGTCTGCTGCTGGTGGGAGTGTAAATTGGTGCCACCCTCTGAAAAGGCAATTTGTCAAAACATGTCAAGAGCCTTTCAAGTGTCACAGCCCTTTGGCTCGGTTTATGTACTTTCAGGAGTCTAATCCAAGGAATTTAATTTGAATTTTGGATAAAAGATTTTGCACAAAGGCATTTATTGTCCAGCACTTGAAATAATTTTAATGTTCAAGAGGATGTGATAATTGAATAAAGAAATAGTTATTTGGTTAAAGAATTTTATGTGGCTATTAAAAGATATAAGAAATGCTTAATAATAAAATTTAAAACAGCTTAATAAGTTGCATTTACCATCTAGAAATAGTATTTCAACTAGGTAAAAGATGTGTACATGGGCAGAGGATATGCTCAGTAGCACAGCACCTACCTGGCAAGCACAAGGTCCTGAGTTCAATTCCTGGTATATAAAAAAAAAAAGATAAGAAGGAAATAAAGCAAAACCCACAGTAAAAATAGTATTTCTGGTTGCTTTGGAGAGAATACAGATTTTGAGTGTTTTTTCCTTCCTTCCTTCCTTCCTTTTTTCTCTCCCTGTCTACAGTTTGGGGAGTATGCATGTATTCATTTTCTAATTCAAAAACTTATACTTTAAATTATCACACATTCTTCACTTTTGCAGTTCTCTAGGAGGCATGCTATTGAACCTGGCTTGGATTCCAACCATTTCTTTTTCCTCATGATATCCACCTTTGATGTCTCCTTCAAGAGGAGACTTCCTTGCGAAGCTCTCCTGAGACTCTGTGTTATACTCTAAGGAAACCTCTTGGAGACAGCTCTGGGCCAGCAATTCTCCTTCTATGTGCGTCTCTTTCTCTTCCATAATAATACATGTGTGGGGGATGAATGTGGCATTTCAAGCATATTTCCCATCCACAGTATCTGTCATGTCACCAAAAGTGAGGAATTCTGTGAATCATGTCATCCAGTGACAAAGTCCTCTGAACCCTCACATCTGTCACAAAGGAAAGGCAAAGCCAATATGATAAACAGGAAATGCAGCCCATGGGAGGAAAAAAGTAATGTGAACACAGTAAGTACCGGAATATACGCACAAGAAAAGCTGGTGTTTATCGTTATTCTGATAGAGTACAGACATTCTAAGTAAATCCATAGTTTGTTCCTATTAACACTGCATCAGCAGCAACAGTTAAATTCCCGTGGATAATGGCAAAGATTTTTCAGTGCTATAATTCCCAGGATTCTCATCTAAAAATCCTGTGATCCCAAGCCTTCTTAAGCCACCCTAAAAAGGTGAAAATAGTCAACTGTAACTCTTGTTTTTTAAAAAAGAAATTGTAATTAATGGTCCTTTTTTCTAATTCTATATTCACTGAAAATGAATGTACTCTGATTCCCTTGGTAGCTGCAAATGCCTGACATGGAGAGCTTTCGACCTGAGAACACAATGCATCGCAGGGGATGGAGAGGAGGAAGACAGCAGCCCCGGCATACTCACGCAGGGGTCCCCAAAGCGGAGAGCAATGCTTGGCAGGAAGGGGCTGAGGGGAAAGGATGAGTAACCCAGAGAAAGGAGCTGTGGTGGGTCTGAGAAGTCGGCAGCTGTTGTTTACACATGGCCATGAGAGACAGAGGAGGATGGAGAGCCCTGCAGAGGGACTTGAGTGTGGGCTGGGGAGAGAAGTGCCTTCAAAGGCTCTGGGAAGAAATCCAAGGAGCTGGATGCTGGTTAACAAGGCCCCCATGGTTGCTAAGAGCAAGGATTTGGCTGGGAGCTGAGGGCTGGGCTTGGAACCCTGTAGAAAAGAACAAAGAATCCCAGGAGAGACCAGTGCTAAAATGCAATTGTCTGACCCTTTGGGGGTGGGAGGAAGGGGCGGGGAGAGATTGAGAGAACTTCCGTCTGTCCATCTGTGGTCAGCTGCTATTCTAGGGTTCCAATCCAAACCAGCCTGAGTAGGTGAGCAGGCTGGGTCCGTGTGGTTTGCCTTTTACCTAAAAGTTTCCAGTGACCCATACTTCTTGGGTCCCCTTTGGTTCAAGCCATCTTTGAACACAAGGTTTTGCACAATGGAAAACAGAAATGGCAAAGAAGTTTTCAGAAACCCTTGGCTTTCGACATCATGGAGAGTGGTGAGCCTGCTCCACCAATACCGTGGGAAGGAATGGCCTCCTCCCACCTGCCTGCCGAGGATTAGCAGGCAGGAAGGGGGCTGCAGCAGCCTGGGTTTGTGATTGCGCCTCATCAGCCCCCTTTCCCAGGCCACTCAGGGGGCCTTGTCTATAAACTGGAAGCCACTTATTGAAGGGAACATGAAGCCCAGGTGAAAATGTGAGAAGAAAACTCTCCATGCCTCTGAGCAACTCCTGTTTGGGAGTGGCCCACTCCTCCTTGACCTACACCAGAAGAGGCGTGATGATCTACAGCCATGTGCAAGGAGGTCCCCACCCTGGCTTCCTTCAGCTGTAACCTGGCTTTCTTACCAGCATATCTAAATGAGAATTTACAGCTGATCCTCTGTCTCCTTGATCAGGTATCTCAATAAAGTCCATCAGTCAAAGGAATTAAGTACCTTTGCCCAAGAGACAGGGAGGAGGCACAAATGCATCCCAACCTTGGTGACTGAGGTGAGATTCCCAGAGCTTGGTGGTGATGCTTGGCTGCAATGTCCAGATGGACAGGCGCATCATGATACTAGTCTTGGAAATGTGTGAACAGACACAAAGCACAGGATTTGAGACTGTTGTGTTTTTAGCTGGAACCTGAATGGTTCACCTTAAGATGTGTTCCACTCCATCCATAGAAAGGCCCAGGAGGCCCAGTGTGGCTTCCTAGCATCCACAGTATCAGAAAGGCAAGAGGGAAGAAGATTCCCCCTGGGGAGACAGACTGGGATGGACCTTGCCCTGGAGTCAGGAAAAGAAGTCTGCTCTGTTGAAAGTTCTCAGAAACTTGAGTTGGCTACTTCTACCCACGTTAAGGAAAAAGTGAAATGAAACAAGTTCATCATTGACATTATCCAAATTTCTCCTCTCTGTCTCATTATCCCATGTCATGACCTGGGACTGCCAGTCTATGTTGGCTGCTCAGGAACTAATCAAGCATTGTCCCCCACCCTTTGTCATTCAGACGTGCACTGGGCACATGGCTTTGGGATCTATCAAGAGCGCTGATGCAGCACATTTCTGGGAGTGTCTGGGTAGGTCTTGGGAAATATACATGGTCTTGGGAGCTATACATTGTCTTGGACACTTCTCTGGTACTGTTCTCCTGTTCTGCTTCCCAGTCATTAATTAAGCACTGTGCTCCATTAACCCTTCCACCATGATGCTCCTGCCTTGGAGCACCTGACTGTGAACTGAATGCCCTGGTACCGTGAGCCAAATTAAATCTCTCCTCTTTTAATTTATGGGTGCTGAGTATTGTGTCTCAGTGACAGCGAAACTAACTAATACCCTGTCTTCGTCCATTCTTGCTGCCATAACAAAACGCCAGAGACTGGGTAACTTATGAAGAACAGAAATGCATTTCTCACAGCTTTGAAGGCTCAAATGTCCAAGACCAGGGTGTTGGCAGATTGCATGGCTAGTGCAGGGCTGGTCTCTCTGCTTTACAGTTGGGACCTACTGCTGTACCTCCAGAGGAGAGCACTGTGTCCTCACATGTAGAAGGTAGAAGTGCAAAGAAGACCAAGGCTTGCTCCTTGCAGCCCACTGATCAGCTCTTCAATCCATCCATGAGGCTCCACCCTCATGACTGAATTGCCACCTAAAGGCCCCACTATTAATAAATCACACTTGTCATTAGGGTTCCTCATAGGATTGGGGGGGTGCTGCAGGTCATAGTAAACACCTGGTGTAAATAAATCCTGCCTTTTGACCAGTGGCTAAGAGATTTGAAGCTGGGCAAAAAAAAGCTGTGGTCTCTGAGGGCTCATGGTCTCTTAGAGATAAAGATGTGGTAAACAAGTGTGCTTGGCTAGAATAGAAGAATAGGTAGTCAATGGAGCCATGAAAAAGGGAATCCGAAGTTCACAAGTCAGAGTGCTGGAGGGTCAGTTGGGGAGTGAAGGGCCACACTCTTCTCTCTAAGTGACGACCTTTCATACCAGGAGGGAGCAGACCCGGGCTCAGGGTTAGGACTTAGGAGCTCTAGGAGGACAGAGCCAGCCAGCATGAGACACATGGAGTGAGCGGAGGGGCAGGGAGTTGTCAGGATGGAAGCTGATCTGAGTGTCCAGTCTTTGGAAGGCCTACTGAGATGTCTGGAGCCGGACATCATGGCACACACCTGTGATCCCAGAACTGTGGGAGGCTGAGGCAGGAGAATGGCAAGTGTGAACTCAGCTTGGCCACCATAGTGACTTAGCAAGACCCTGCATCCAAATAAAAAATAAATATTAATATAAAAAGGAGCAGGGAAGGTAGCTCAGTGTGAAGGCCATGGGTTCCAACATGAGTACTGAAAAAACAGTTTGTTTTTTCTAAACAGTGGTGGTCTCGGTGTTTGTAAAGAGGGTGGTGTTTTCAGAAACAGCTCTGTGATCCAGGATGTAAATGAGTAGTAGGTGAGGAAATCTGGTTAAAAGTTTAATCCTATAAACTGGAAGGATCTTGAATAAGGAGGTATCATGTAAGAGAAGGAGAGGCTTTCTCCGAGCCAGAGGGATGACTCAGAAGGCAGTCACAAGGCGGCTGATCACCGAAAATGATGATGAGGGACCTGCGGCTCAATACCCCTGTGAGAGTGAAGGCAGTGATGTCTGCGGGCACTGCATGGGGCTTGGTAGAAATTGAGCTCAAGAGGGAGCTGTTGAGTAACTACGGGATGGCCAGGCAGTGTGAGATCCTGGCTTCCCTGAGGAAGCCAGGGTTTCAGTCTTCAGCTAGAGAATTGGTTCATTGTCAAGACACAGATGGTCAGTCCAAGAGGGCCTTCCAGCTGTACTGTAGGTTTGGTCCCATATTTCAAAATTCGCTCCCTCTAGACGTCCTCCGGATTAAATTTTTTA